TGATACAGTGGGCACGAGCCACAGCCTGTGGTACAAACAAGAAACAAAATTTGGGAGCTGGGGGTGTGGCTTAGTGGCAGAGCAATTAAAGCATTTGTTTCGGTCCCCAGCACCACAAAGTTAAAAGTTGAATTAAGAAAAATTGAGAGTCCCATGTTCTCAGTTGCCCAAGCTACATCTTAAGCTCAGGAGCCACTGTGACCAGCAGTGTTTATTGTGGGCAGCCAGCCCAGGAGCAGGGCCATCTTCTCAGGGGGCCCTGCCTAGTACTGTTTTCTAGACACTTCCCATTGGCAGGTCCCGAGTTCCTGTACAGGCTGCTGTTCTGGTCCTACCCTACAGAGTTCTCCCTTCCCTCCCATTCCACATCTGACTCTTCTCCCCAACTCAGAATGCCCCTTCCGATGCCCGCTCACTCCTGCAGGCCAGCCCTGCAGTGTGCTTCCAGATGGCTCTGTCCATAGGTGCCACTCTGAGAAAAACCCTAGTTAGAGCTTTGGTGTGTTTGCTGGTCTCTCCGTGTTCTTGTGACTTTATACATTGTTGCCTCTTCCTGATCAGCATGGTTTCAGTTATTTGTTGCGGTTTACATTGAGTTCTAGATTTTTTTTCTCTTTGTTGATTTTATTTTATCTTTTTTTGTTAGTTTTTCTTTTTTGAGACAGGGTTTCTCTGTGTAGCTCTGGCTGTCCTGGAACTTGCTCTGTAAACCAGGCTGGCTTTGAACTCAGAGATCGTCCTGGCCTCTGCTTCCCAAGTGCTAGGAAAAAAGGTGTATGCCACTACTGCCCCGATTTATTTTCTCTTTAGGTGTTAACCTGCTTGCAGTAGTGAAACCGTCTTAGAAAGTGCACCTGGCAAAGTGCGCCCTTCCCCCCTGAGCCACTGGCCTCTGTGGCACTTCTGATTGCAAGTGTGTGAGTGCTCACACCCCTTTCCTTACACTGAGGCCACACAGTTTTTCAGCTCACAGGGCATTGGTGCTTTCATGCAGCAGTGTGTGGTAGTGACCCTTCACACCTTGTCATGTCCACAGCTACATTGCAGTTGGGGCCCCCTCCCTCCCAAGTGCCCTCACTAGTCCCTTGTGTACAGCCCTGGAGGTGATTCCCAGCACTTGCAGAGTAATGCTGCCTGAAAAGCGCTGAGTGTCGTCTGTACTAGTGTAAGCTGAGGGCCAGCAGCTGGTACCAGGCAGCTGTGCTAAGTTTGACTGGCTTTGGGACTTGTCTGGGGCTGTTTGACTGGTGGGACCTGGGGCGGGTTCTGTGCCAACCAGGCCATAGCTGCAGTAAGCAATGCTGATTTCACCTGCACGTTTACAGCAGGATGTACAGGTGAACTGCTGAGTTAGCCACCAGGGAGAGGGCGGGAATGGTTAGGGAGTGCTTACCCAAGGCTGGCCCTGCGCTAGATGCCTATAATATATCACCTGGACATGGGTGGTAACCTTCACCATAGGTGGACTTCTCGCTGTCTGTCTATCCGCTTTCCTCCCTTCCTGCCTGCTTGCTTATTTGAGCTGATTTTTGCTTTGTTTTGTTTTGTTTTATGGAAGCAGACATTGGGATATTATGACCAAAGCTGGGATTAACCCCACTGTGTGTGACACCCAACCCATTCTATATGATGACATATATATTTATCTTACCTGTGGAATGGCACACAGCTATAGGGATGGGTGGCAATCACACTTGACCATTCTGATGACTGACTCCTGTGTTGGTTGTGCCCCCTCTTGATCAATGGGATGTGTATGAAGTAGTCAGCGCGCATGCCGTAGACCCGATTAAATGATGCCCAGTGAGAGGAGAAGGGTGGATCCAACCAGCCCTGCTTCCTGCCTGTGGCTGCTCCTGTCAGCCCTTGTCCTTCCTGTGAGCTGCTGTCCTGGGGTGGAGCGGCCCGCTGTTCCTGTGGCCAGCGCTTTGGTGGTTTTCTCTACCTCTGATGTAGGCAGTTCTGGTGGAGCACTCCATTGTAGCCTGTATGCCTTCTCTCTTTTTCTGTCTGCTTCCTCTCGGGATCCACTGGGAGTTACTCTTCTCTCCGAGATGGTAAATGGGGAACCCGTGAATTCCAAACTGGGACTCTCTCGGTCTGTAAGAAGGTTGGAAGTGTTTGACACCAAGAACCGGGCATCTGATGGGAGAAGCTGATCCCTGGCTCTGATGGGTCTGGGGTTTCCTGTGTGTTCGCTTACTTGGGCAGGGGAGCTGGTGGCACCTTCTCTTTTGCAGGGCCCATGGTTCTTACTGTCCCACACAGGCTCAATATGCCTTGTTCCCCAAGGTGGCCCTGCTTCTTGTTTCCTGAGTCCCCTAGGTCCCGATGTATGCTGCCAATAGACTTTTATTTTACAGACTTTCAAAAGCCAAGGAAACAATCCCGAGTCTCAAATTAAAACTGAATTCAGAGGCAACCAAGCAGTTGGGCTGATGTTGCTTCCTTGGCTTTGCTGAACTGGGACTGTGAGGGAAGCAGCGGAGCCATCAAGGGGCAGCTAGTCTGCTGAGGTACACTGTAGACATCCTGTCACTCGGCATGATGGCTGCTCCTAGAGAATGCTTCTCTGTGGCAGTAGCTGTTGAGTGCCTACTGTGCGCCACCCGTGTGCCGTTTCATGGGCGTGAACCTTATTCTGGGACGTCAGTGTTCCTGCTATGCCTTTTCAGACATCAGCATGGGGCCTCTGTAACTCGGCTTTCCCACACAGCAGACTTTCCCACCCACCACCCCTAGAAACAGCCTTACATTGGTATCTATGGCTCATGCTTGTGTCTCAAGTTCAACCTTCAGACCTTAGGGTTGTACTTTTGGACAGTCTGAAGTTTCAGTACAATCGAAACAGAGTTGCCGATACTTTGAGGTTGAGGGGTAACAACTGCTCCTTTAGTGTGTGTAGGAGGGGCATGCGGTCCTGAGGGGCTGGAGGGGCTGGCAGAAGTGAATAGCGCTCGGCGTCCAAGGATGGCCTCCGCAGGGACTGTGGGGAGAGAGCGGCTGTCCATCTAGCTGCTGGCAGACAAGCCTGAGAGGGCGTCTTTGGACCCTAAAGAGCCTTGTAAGAACAAACAAGGAACAAGAGGGTTCTCTTTTTCTCCATTTTTTCCTTTTCTTTTGAGGCAGAGTCTCTCACTGAACCTGGAGCTCACCAGTTGGCTACCCTGGCTGGCCAGCAAGCTCAAGGGATCCTTCCGCCTCTCTTCCCCAGCACGGGGTTGTAGACACAGTGCCACCCCCAGCCTTTTATGTAGGTGCCTGCCGGGGATCCGAACTGTGGTCCTCATGCTTGGACACCAAGCGCTTTGCCCACCAAACCATCTCCCTGTCCTGTTTTTCTTTAAAAAGGAAAACAAACAAGCAAACAGACCAGTTTGCAGTGCCAAGACTGGGGCCCAGAGCCTTATGCCTGCCAGACCAGAGCTGCACCCCCAGTCCCAGGCAGTTCTCTGTAGCCCAGGAAAGCACATTTTTAATTATTTAAATTCTTCCTTAAAATTTCTGACTGAATTCTAAATTAATAGCACAAACCAGTAGTAACTTTTGCTTCAAAGATTTAAAGTAAAGGATCTTAAAATCTGTTTTAATGTGCTGGCCGGTGACGTAACTCAGTTGGTAGGGTGCTTGCCCTAGATGCGTGAAGCCCTGGATTCTCTACCCAGCAACTCATAAACCAGACATGCTGTCTGCCTCTAATCCCTGGAAGTTCAAGGTCATGCTTGGTTATAGAGTGAATTCATTGCCAGCCTGGAATTCCTCAGATCTTGTCTCAAAAAAGATAATAAAAAAATTACCCCCCCCATGGTGTTTCTCTGTGTAGCCCTGGAACTCGCTCTGTAGACCAGGCTGGCCTCAAACTCAACAGAGATCTGCCTGCCTCTGCCTCCTCAGTGCTGGGATTAAAAGCATGTGCCATCTGCTTTAAGTGTATAAAAAGAGTCCTTTATTTCACGTGTGTATACATGGGCACATAAATACTATTTATAAACAAATAATAAATGCAGTTAGTTTTTTTATATCAAGAATTGTTAATCAGAGGCTGCTTCGTGGAACCTTTCAAATTGTGTGTCTCCTCCCCCACTGTAGCTTCTTCCCTGGATGTCCACACTTGAAATGGGTCCACAGCCGTGCTTGTGTTCTGTCCGACGCGTTCTGAAGCCTTACCAGTAGCCGTGGAAGTGTTCTGGGGATTTAGGGACTATTTTACAGCCTCGATCGAAAGTTACCCTAAACAGGAACTCAGAAACTAAGACGCTGCTAAATTGGGGTTTTCTCTCTTGGTTGTTTGTTTTTTCAAGTCCCCTTCCACTTACATGTGTTTGACAGAGAAGTGTGCTCTCAGGGCTGCTTTGTCCGAGATTAACTGTGCCCTTCACACTTTAGCAAGAGCTGGGAACTAGCCTGGACTGTGCTGGACACACAGCTGATTTTTAATGGTGACCTGGGTGATTGTAACCACACCCCCCTGGGTTCAGTCGACAGCCTCTGCTAATGAAGTGTGGTACCTTTAAGTAAAGGTCACAGGCCTGACCTGGGTTGTGTGGGTTTCTTGTTTGTCAGGCTGGAGGCATTTTCTCATTTTCACAGTTGAGCTGAAAACAAAGGCCGCCTTATCCTAGCAGGGAGCTGTGCTCAGAGAGCTGACATCAGCCTTTTCCCAGCAGGCATTGCCTCTGCCTTAAGAGTCTCCACAGAGAGCTGCTCAGGCAGGTCACCTTCTTGCTCCTGGCATCTTTCTGGCTGAATAACACATAACACATTAAATGAAGAAATGCCCAGGGTGTCAGGAGCCAGAGGACAGAACAGAAGCAATACCGTCCGAGTCCATTCCAGGCTGTATGGAGACTGGCCAGCTTGGTGGCTGTAGTCTGTGGCGTGGGGGTTAGAGAAATGGGTCAGAACCTTGGGGAAGGAGGATTTGCCAGGATCCCGAGCGTGTGCAGGGTCACGTTCTAAAGGGACACACTAAAACCATAAAAATAGGAGCGTGTTTAGAATGTGGGTTAGGTCAAAGACATTTATTCAAAAGTAGGGGGAACAGAGGAGCCCTGAGCTTTGGTTCCCTCTCCAGGCCCCGAGCACTCAGCTGAGCACGCGGATTGCAGCTGTTTGGAATGTAGACGGTTAATCTGGGCATCACTTGTCCATCGACTCTTCTTACTGGAACACAAAGCTGGCCTGTCCTGAAATAAAGTGCTGTTCTTTTAGGTCTCTGAACGATCCAACTGAGGGAGGAGGGAGATAAGAAACCGCTGAGGGGTGGCCTGCCTGTGGTTCTCCTCTGGGATCTCCTCTGGGTCCTTTGGTGCATTTCTTCACAGGGCAGGAGGCAGCTGGTGGACCTCTGGTGTTTACACTTGAGTGGCACAGTGCTCGTCTCCTGCTGTGCTGTGTTGTTGGGCTGAGACACTTCATTCTCCCATTTCTTCACGTTGTCTCCCGAGCATAGGCAGAGAGCTTGGAGCTGTGTTACTGTGCTGGGGCTGGTGATAGGTACCTAGAAGGAGGAGCTGCATTCTGGATTGCAGCGTCCCGGCTGGCAGAGGCGAAGTGGGGCCTCTGTTCTGCAACTCCTGCTTAGGCTTCTTCTGGCCTCCCTTGAAGAGACCTAAGAGATGGCACTAGATTGCCAGGCACAGTGGTGCACACCTGTGATCCCAGCACTTGGAAGCTGACGCAGGGGATTGGAGAGTTCATGGCCAACCTGGGCTACATAGCAACAGTCATCTCCAATAAAAGAAGGGAAGGTGGGAAGCTAACGGACCCTCACAGAGACAGTTTCAGAACTGGATGTTGTAGGAGTCAGTTGTCTCTCATTAGGTCGGCAAGCTCAGGGCTTGTTGAGGTTGTCTGTTGTCGGAGCTGCTGAACTAACTCCTGGAGGTATGTCTATGTAACTTACCAGGTTCCAGGCCAGACAGTGTTCGGCCCAGAGTTTCTCCAAGGGAAACAACTGGGGGATCTGTTGTAGACTAGATAATATTCCTCCACAATCCATGTGTTGAAGCCCTGCCCTCCAGTGTGATGGTCTTTGGAGCTGATGAGGCCAGGAGGGTGAGCCCTGTTCAGGTGGGGTTAGTACCCTAGTAAGAAGAGACCACAGCACGGTTCCCTCTTTCTGTGTGAGGACTCAGGAGAGGACTGCGAGCTGCATGCGTCGCCAGCCACGCTGCACACTGGTCTTGGGCCTCCCAGGGACTTCAAGTGGAGAACAACTGTCATTTGATATCTGTTGTTTGGATCCATTGTTGATCCTTTGTGGAGCCCAACCTCTCTCAGGGACACTGCCCAACAAAACGAGCACTTGAGCACTTGATTTCAGAACTCCGTTGTGACCTTTCAGACCCTTAAAGCTGGACTGTGAAATGAAGTGGCAGAGTCATTTCCTGATTAACACTGGGACCTGTCAGGGCTGAGGGGCAAGAGACTGAGAGACTAGGCCAGCTTCTCCCCGTGCTCTGCCCACAGTGCAGCAAGGTCAGTGAGATTGCCCTTCTTCCATTCACTAGGGACCTACCAGGTAGCCGAGATGGGGGACACGGATAATTCCACGCTGTGTGTGACTTCCTGTCTCTTGGCTGACCCTCCTGTGACCCCCCTTTTGCTGCCTTTGGTCCCCTTCCTACTTTGGGGCCACTTTTCCCAGGATCTTTTCTCTCTTTTTTCTTTCATGTTTTGTTTGTTTGGTGTTTGGAGACAGGCTCTCACTATATAAGTATAGCGCTGGCTGTCCTGGAACTCACTATGAAGACCCAGGCTGGCCAACTCTTTTCCATGTGAGCACCTGCCTGGGTCACATTGTAGACCCCCTTTCCACACAGACCTCCTTTCTGGGGCCAAGTTTCTTGAGTATTTGTCTCTGTGGCTCCTGGTCAGCTATGGGGAATTACCGTATTACCGAGTCCTCGGGCTGCAGCCTGCCCCAGGGCTCAGGGCCTCGCCTGCAGGCTCCTGAGCTGCTCAGAAGCCTCTCCTCCATGGTGAGCCAACACTCTCCATAGGATATTGTTGCTGTCACTGTGTGCCAGGGCTGGCCTCCTTCAGTCAGAAGCTTGTACCTAGTGCAGTGCCAGATACTCCTAGAGGCTAGGTCACCCCTGGAATAAGAAAGGAACAAGAGACCTTGAAGCTTTCTTCCTTTTCATGGAGATGAATTGTACAAGCTGGGCTTTCATGGCACAAGCCTTTAATCCCACCACCCTGGAGGCAGAGGCAAGCAGATCTTTGTGAGTTCAAGGCCAGCTAGGACTACATAGTGAAACCCCATCTCAAAAAAAAAGGATAATTGCTAGACATGTAATGTCTTAGGTAGCATTACCTAGGGTACCTCCTTGTGTTCTGCGGCCACGGTGCTCAAAAAGTCCACTGTCACTGCCCGTGCGCCCACCCCCACCCCTGTACCCCATCTTCCAGAACAGAAACCCCAGGAGCCCCTTGGATCTGTGGAGGTACCTCATCCAGCCTGCGTCATGGGCCTGCCTGATAGCAAGCAGTCTTATCTTGGTGTCGACTCAGAGGAATGAGCCTTCACAGTTACTGTGTGAATAAAATGTCTTTTTTTCCCCCCTGCAACTGGCATCGGTCCCGGTAGAACATGATGTGAGGCGTGTGGAAACAAGTCTTTGAATACGGTGGGGTGAGTGTCAGAATCATTGCTGGGAGGAGGCTGGATATGTCTCTGGGTGGTACAGGAGCCGATGTGAAGCCAGGCATTTGAGAAACTGAGGCAGGAGAATTGCTGGGGTGGCACAGGAGTTCCAGACCAGCAACACAGTCAGACTCCATCTCAGATAAAAAGAAAAGAAAAAGGACAGTATATGTGGCTGGAGAGAGGACTCAGTCATTAAGAGCACTGATTGCTCTTCCAGGGGACCAGGGTTCAATTCTAAGCACTCACGTGATGGGATCTGGTAGGCCTTTCTGGCCTCTGTGGGTACTGTGCACACATGTGGTTCATATACATACATATATCCATGTAGGCAAGCATTCCATATACATTAATTTTTTAATTTTTTTTTTTTTTTTTTTTTTTTTTTTTTTTTTGAGACAGGGTTTCTCTGTGTAACTACCCTGGTTGTTCTGGAACTTGCTCTGTAGACCACTCTGGCCTTGAACTCACAGAGATCTATTTGGCTCTGCCTCATGAGTGCTGGGATTAAATGTGTGTGCTATCACCATCTGGCTATTTTTTAAAAATCTTAAAAAAAAAAAAAGTAAACACTCTCATCTTGGGAAAACAAGCAGGTCTGCACCCACATGTGTCCTTCACATTCGCCACCAACCCCTCTGTCCAGGCTCCACTTGCTAGTAGGTTCACTGTGTTCACCCACTTCTGAGTGGTGGCCCAGGACCCGTGCCAGTCTCAGATTACCTCTCTATCCTCCCGCTCTGGGTCATTCTCGGTCGGTTGTTTCTAGACAGGGCTGTGAGTAGGGCAGGTGACAACAGGACCCTCCAGGTCACCAGGAGTGCCCCTCCGTGGTGGCACCTCGGTGAAAGGAGTAGGAGCCAAGCTGAGCTCTGTTGACAGGTCTTCTTCCAGAGTCTGTGTGTGGGACACCACTGGGTTTGTCCATGGGCTGTGTCTCCTTGACTACAGAATAAAATCCACACTCCTTGTGTGACCTTCAAGGATGGAGGAGCTGTTGGAACAAGCTCCTTTCCCAGAAGGCACCTCCCTGGACTTTCATGGAAATGCTGTGGTTAAATTTTAAGAGAATTCATGGAAGTCTCTGTCGTTTCTTGTCTTCAGGGCAGCTAAGCATGTGTTGTCTGCCTGTGTGACAAGCAGCTCTGACACACGTCAGGGCGAGTACACAGGATGGTTCTGTTTTCGCTTGTGACCTTAATCATTGGAAACCGTTGCCCACAACATCTTAATGCGTTAGGTTCCCAATCATACCCCAGCCAGCTCTGGTGGGAGCGTCCTCGGGGACTCCCAGCAGAGAGATCTCCGCTCATTCCACGGCCTGAACTTTAAGTCAGGTTGTTCTAAGCTGTCCGTCCAGCATGTGCCCTTCCCACCCACTCCCATGTCCACAGCAACACTCCGCATTCTGGGAATGACCGAGGTGCTGCCTCTCGGCTCTTGGCTGGTAACTGCCCCACATCCCAGCATCTCTGTTTCCTACACGTGCAGATGGTGATGTGGTCTACCGAAGCTTTCCTCGCTGTCAGCGACGCCTTCTACAGATAGCTTGTGTCTCTCTATAGTCTGTGTTGCCGACAACTCCCGATGCTTCTGCTCCAGCCTTCCGAGCAGCTGGGACTCTTGCCTTGTTTTCTTTTAGCTCTCTAATGCTTTTTCTTTATTCCTTTGTTTAGATTAATTGGTATTTTTAGAGCAGGATGCAATTATGAACACACAGCGTTAGAGATTTTTATATAGGAGAGCTGTTCTAGAGAGGGTTTGGTGGCAGGTTTTGGTGCTGGGGGAACCCAGGAATTGTCCTGGAGGGTCAGCACCCATGAACTCCCCTGTTGAGCTAATGGCAGGGGCTGCTTGTCCGTCAATACTGAGGTGACACTATCTGTACCGATGGTGGAGTGCTGTCCTGATCAACCCGTTGAAAACTGAGGGTGTTAGCTCCCTGACATAAGCCTCGGTGGGCCTGGTCTGGGTGCTTTGGTATGCGGGTGCCTGAGAAGATCTCATTACATAGTGCCAGCCCAGGAAGAGGGCAAAATTCACTGTCCAGAGTACAGTTTCTCCTGCTGCATCCTCCGTTCCCACCACGGGGAAGTGGAAGGCCCGCTACATAAGGCAAATGTCGGAGGGATTTAGGGTTGGTGTGTGGTTGCCATGTGGGGGAGGCTGAGCTCTCAAAGAGGGCACGAGAGAAAGTCAAAGGAAGGGATGCTGAAGGAAGCATCAGGCTTGGAGGTCACCCGGCCGAGATGCAAGGCAGGTCACCTCTGCCTTAGGATGGCTCTCCTTTTCATAGTTTGACCGGTACTCCAGAGGCCACTGTTTCCAGCCAACTAGTTAGGCAGTTTAACTAAAAAACAAAAATAAAAACAAACAAATAATAAACCCAGTTAAAAGCAAATAAAAACAAATTATAAACCCAGTTACTCATGACCAAGGTTTCTTTTTCTTTCTAACCCAACCAAAATAGATTGTTTTCTATGATTGCCAGTTGTTTACTTGTTGATAATTCATTTGAAGCTCAGATTAACAACCCCCCCGTCTCACACACACACACACACACACACACACACACACACACACACACACACACACTTCTCTCTGTGTCCCTGAAGTGCTGGAGATGGGACCTCCATCCCCACCCACGGGTGGATTCTGTAGACGGAAAACTGGCAATGTGTGCATGTTTGTACTGGGGAAACATGCGCATGGGTGTACCGGGCATCTGGAATCTCCAGCAGCAGCACGGTTGATATGCAGCTGAAATGGTGGTTGTTGAGAGAACAAACTGGCCTCAGTTTCACGGTGCTGCCAAGGATGACTTCTGATCCTTCTGCCTCCGTCTCGTCAGCGCTGGGTTGACCACACCTGGTTTATATGCTGAGGACTGAATGCAGGGCTTCGTTCATGCTGGGCAAGTGTCCTGACTACAGCCCTTGCATGGTCTCAGGACTTCAGGCTTGTTTGTCTCTGCTCCTTCATGGGGCTGTACTCTGCTGCATGGGTGCTGAGTGTGCTCCCAAGTGCTGGGAGGGAGCAGGGCCAGGTGCCCTCATTTTTCCTATCTTTAAAGATTGGTTAACTGCTTCCAGTTGGTTCTGTCTTTGAAGGTTTTCCTGTTGCTGGTGACCGGAAGAACTTGCTAGCAAGTGAAGATGCTGGGCCATTCAGGAGGTTTGTCTGTGCTTTGCAGGCCTCCTTGGCACCCCTTCCTGTTCATGTCTAGTATTCCATTTTTCTGAAAGTGGACTTGGTGGGTTGGAGGGTGCTGGTTTGGTGTCTGGTAACCTGTGCGCACCTCACCTTTCCCCGCATCTTCCCAGGGATGACTACTTCTCATTTGTTTAGACTATGGGAGCCAGCATCTCAGCTCGGCAGCTCGCTCTCCGGCTCTGCCTGCTAGCTACACGTGTTCTTCTGTGACTGTGACTGTCTGGCACACTCCTGTCTTCTGAAGACTTTCAAATAGTACGGTGTTTGTAGAGGAAAGGTCTTTCAGGCTGGACTGATAGCCCGGTCAGTGAGGCAATGCAGACTTGATTGAGTTCTTCCATGCCCAGAACCACAAGAAAAAGCTGGTTGGGGCCACACACTGTCACCCCAGTGCTGGGGAGGCAGATCCCTGGGGCTCCCTGGCCAGTCAGCACAGCCCACTTGGCGTGAGTTTCAAGCCAGTGAGGCAGACACTGTTTTTTAAAAATCAATGACAGCAGCAAAAAAACAAAACAAAACAAAAAACGAACCCAAGGTGGATGGCCCGTGATAAAGGACACCGGACGCTGACCTCTGTGCTGTCTCCCACGCCCCTCCCCAACACACAGGGTTTTTCTTTGGAAGTGGTTGGATCACTCACTATATCTTTTTCTTTAGTAGGAAAGCCTTCTAAAAGCGCTCTAGAAAGGACTGAACTGTATTGGATAACACTCATAACACGTGGCTAGGACGGGGCAGTGGTAACTGCTCAGTACATGTACATTATGAACCATTATGGACGTCACTGGTCTGTTTAGCTAGGCTCTTTCTGATAGTCTCCTGCATTAGAGACAGTGGGAGCTGGAGGGGTTTAGCCCTGGGTGGAGAGGTGGGGTGTGACTATGGAGCACAGCGGAGCGGCTGACCGGGGCTCCTCAGTGTAGAAGAGGGTAGTTCTGCCTCCCGAGGCCTCCCTAGCTGTCTCCCACTGCTCTTTCCCTTCCAGGACCGATCCTGCAGAGCTGGGCCAGGAGCGTGTGTTACTAGTGTCTTGTTGGGTGCTCTTAGTAAACTCTGAAATCCAAAATGAAATTGTTTTTATTTAACCATTTTACCAGATGTTCCCTGGGTCTTGATGGATGCAGCATTTACTAGAAAGTTACATCCTGAGATGCGGTGTTATGGACACGGTTGCTATAGACAGTGACAGTTGGTAGGACTGGAAGACAGCCTTTGCATCTTCTTTCTTTTTTTAAATGTGTTTTCCTCCCACAAGAAGTGCTCTTTCATTGGGGTGCTTTCATCTTCTGGGCTACAGGTCTGGCTTATGAAGGCTTGCTTGATATAACTGCAGTTCTGTTGCCGTGTGAAAGCAGCCAGCAGGCCCGTGCACATTGCAAGCGTGGATCTAAAGGAACCAGGCAGGCCCTTGACTCCCCTGGTCACTGAGGCTGCTGGCCTGGGATAAGGTTCATAAATTTGCAGATCCGACCAGATGATGTGTCCACCCGGGCTAGCTGTGTCCTGCTGGCCTTCAGCACTTCTAACAACAGCCTCTCAAGTGGGGTCTGTGAGGAGGGCAAGAGGACCAGAGAACCCACAGAAGCTGAACTGCAGGCCTGTCCCCTCCCTCCTGCCTCGCCCCTTCCTGCCAGCATTTCCTTTGGCCAAGTTGTGGAGTTTGCTAAAAGCCTGGTGTTATGGAAGGTAGGCAAACAAAGAAAGAGGAAGTGGCTTGCTGTAATTCTGACAGCAGATCTGTTTTCTCTGAAAATGGAACTGCAGCGATGCATGCAACGTTCTTGGCAGGCGGCACTCTGTAAATAACGCCTCCCAGGAGTTCCCAGCCTCTCCCAGGCCCGCAGGAAGCTTCCCCTGCAGCGCGGGGCAGGCGGCCCCGCACCTCACACCCTCCTCCGGGGGACTCTTATTCTGACGGGGCGCGCGCCCGCCGTTCCTGCCAAGTTTGTGAGGCCCCAGGCTTTCTTGTGGGAGGACGCTGGGCTGTCTTCATGCTCCTTGGCAATGATTAAAGTGAGGTTAGTACCAAAACCCCCTTTCATTTCATTCCCTTATCCTGCCGTTTTCAAAGCAGATGGCAGCGCTGTATTTTCAGCTGTAATTAATTTAAGCTGGGGGAGACAGAGCTGATGGGCAGAGAGGGACGTTCCTCCGGTCCCTGTCTCCTGGCCGCCCAGCACCTTGTTCCAAGCCGAGCCATGTAGCCACCAGATCCTCCTGCAAGGACCAGGGGGCTGTCAGGGGAGCGGAGTGTGGAGGGAGCTGGCAGAGTTAAGCAGTCGTCCAGGTTCAGGTGCGGCTGTCACGTGACAGGGTCTAGTTGGAGAGGAGCAGCTGCTGGAGGCCCCGTTCCTCCTCCTCCTCCTCCTCCTCCTCCTCCTCCTCCTCCTCCTCCTCCTCCTCCTCCTCCTCCTCCTCCTCCGAGCAGATGCCAGGCTCACGCGTCTGCTCTCCAGTTTATTCTTAACAGAAGATAAGGATAAATAAAGGCACTTGGCGAAGTCTGGAGGCTCTGACCTCAGCGATGGGGCCTTCCCCCTGGACACTCCACTCAGGTTCCTCTGGCCCTCATCCTCAGCCATCGACCTCTCGACCTCTCCAGTCTGATAAAAAAATGCTTTTGTCCCAGCTCTGGGGAACTTGCACAATAGCTCGCTCTTCCAAGCTCCCTCCACATCTTGCTCAGGGACCAGCAGGTTGGAGTGAGTGCCCTTGTTGCATGGAATGGTGTAGACATGCTGAGGACTTGGTCCCACCACACACTGCTGCCACACAAGTGGTAGCTATTATTGTTAACTTAGCCACCCTCGGAAGACTTGAAGCAATTGTTACGGGCTCCTAGTGAGAAATGAGAACCGCAGCTATGTGGCTGTGAGTCTCCCAGAAGCTCGCAGCTGATCACAGCCACAGCTCTACACTGTCGTATATTCTGGTGGGCTGGGAGGAGGGCGCGCATTAACATGTGTGCCATGTTCACAGTGTGTGTGAGTGCTGCTCTCATAACCCAGGTAGGCTGTTTTTAATAAGACTTATCAGATCTGTGCTGGAGGACCAGACAGACCTGTGCTCCTGGCAACCTTTCTTTGGTTTCTCTGTAGTAGGAGGGACAGGTGGTAAGAGAGACGTGTTTTAGAGTCAACCCGCTATACTACTGTGATTTGTCAGAACTTCTGTTTGTTTGTTTTCGAGACAGGGGTTGTCTGTGTAGCCTTGGCCTCTAACTCAAAGACCCACCTGCCTCTGCCTCTGAGTGCTGGGACTGAAGGCGTGCACCACCACCGCCCGGGTTGTCAGAACTTTTAAGGACAAAGACCAAGAATCACCCTGTGATCCAGCAGCTCCTCTTCTGGGAATTTACACAGAATGATTGAAGATAGGGGGTAATGATTCCTGTTTGTACACCTAGACTCACAGTGGCTCTGTTTATATAGCCAAGAGCTGGGAACAGCACAGGAAAATGCCCATCAGTGGGTGTATGGCTAAAAGCATGAGTCTGTGTATTGCAGTGGATATATTCAGCCTTAAAGAGGCAGGAAATTCTGACACATACCAACACATGGCTGAACCATGAAGGGTATCACGCTAAATGAAATAAGCCAGAGTCAAAACAATGACAGTCCGTGAGTCAACTTATGCAAGGCCTCTAGTTTGGAGAATGAATGGCTTGGCTCATCTAGAGGGAATGTGAAGTGGCCATACCCCAGAGTGGTCTGACTGGGAGTTAGTGCCTAGTGGGGACAGTAGAGGAATCATGGAGGTAGATGGTGGTGATATTTATTATATATTATATAGCTGTATTATTGCTCCTTAAATATGGTATTGTGGGGGCTAGAGAGACGGCTCAGAGGTTAAAGACCCTGACTGCTTTTGCAAAGGACTAGAGTTCAGGTCCCAGCATTCACAAAGTAGTTAACAAACCACCTGTAACTCCAGTTTTAGAGGGTTCCACACCATTTTGTGCAGGAAAACACTCATACACAAAAATAAATTTTAAAAACATGAAATGATAGTGTCCCTTACCATAACACAGAAATAAACCATGGGGCTAGTGGTGAACTTTGGTTCAGTTGAAGAGCACTGACGAGTGTCACGGGGTCAGTATGTCGGGACAGTGGCTAGTGCGGAGGGTGGAGAGCCTTCTCTCTGTTAGAACCCATCATCTACAGGTGAAGTCACAGGACTCCGGGGCAGTGACTTCAGCTGAATGCATTCGTAAGAGGAACCATGGCCATCTGGCTTTTGGAAACTCTTACAGAGTGGACAGGTGTAGGGCTTAGAATCCTCTACACAGGTCTAGATAAAATGCACATCAGCAATGAGCAGAAAGTTGGGTCCCCCTGTTCATTCTCTTCCCTCTTCAGAGCTCCAAGGTTCAGACTGAACAGATTGTAACAGCCAGGACATTGCTCTTAGATGTCAGTGACCACCAGGGAAAGCAAAGCACACAGCTCGGGGAGAGAGAATTCTAGATGGTGACGCACACCTGCAGTCCTAGTAGTAAGGGAGGTTGAGGCAGGAGAATCTCAGATTGGAGGCCAGCTTGGCCTACATAGCAAGACCCTGAATGGCAGTGTGGAAGGGTGGTCCTGTGACCTGGAGAGGGATAAAATAGGCCTTCAGTGATGGCCTCTGTGTCTATGGGGAACTTCTAAGAATGGAGGACCTGAGTTGTAATTAGCCCATCCAGTTGCTAGCATACTGTAGTGTTTCCAAGCACTAAGATAATTCTCAAACCATCTTCCCTTAAAATAATTTAAAGCGGGGCTGGAGAGATGGCTCAGAGGTTAAGAGCACTGCTTGCTCTTCCAAAGGTCCTGAGTTCAATTCCCAGCAACCACATGGTGGCTCACAACCATCTGTAATGAGATCTGGTGCCCTCTTCTGGCCTGCAGGGATATGTGCAGATGGAAAACTGTATACATAATAAATAAATAAATCTTAAAAAAAAAAATGTTTAAAAAAAATAATTTAAAGCTTATTTCTACAATTCAAAATATGTATTTTTTTTTAAAAAAGAAAATCCTCCCCTTCCCCTGAATTTGGAAAATGGAGTTCAGCAAGGACAGACTAGGTGCTTGGAGACAATCATGTCCCTGAACACTGAGAATCTGTGTCCTCCAGCTGGAAGGGCCTTTGGGCCCTTTATCAGTGCTGTTATATAGAAACCATGGTGGGTGTGAAAAGATCACTTCTTAGGTGTGTATTTCCTTGCTGTAGATTTTCAGTATCTAAGGCTCATGTAGCTAGCGTTATGGTAATGTAGTGGCTGATTTTTGTTGTGGTTTGTAATTTTCAAAGTCAGTCAGGGTTATAGGTGACTTGAGAAAAAAAACTTCCTTTCTGGTTTTTATTTGGTGTTGAATCAGTGTATGAAAGACTTCACGAAGTAATTTGGAACCTGTCACCACCAGCTACAGGGTGCTGGCACCCTTGTGTTGAATGTGAGTGTGCAGCCACGTGGATCACACACACGTGTAGCAATGCAGGGTGTCTGCTCCAGAGGGAGGTCACAGGTAGATCTGAATTGAAAGGAACGCTTAAGTGTGACCCCCACCTTTCTTTTTAGATTAACTTATTTTATTTTATGTGTATGGGTGGTTTACTTGCATGTATGTTTGTGCATTCCAAGGGTGTAGTGCCCACAGGGGCCAGAAGAGGGCGTCAGATTCCCTGGAACTGGAGTTACAGACAGTTGTGAAGCCACCATGTGGGTGCTGGGGACTGCAGCCCAAGACCTCACCTTTTTTGTTTTCGAGACAGGGTTTCTCTGTGTAGTTTTTTGGTGCCTGTTCTGGACCTCACTCTATAGACCAGGCAGGCCTCGAACTCACAGAGATCCGCCTCTGCCTCCCGAGTGCTGGGATTAAAGGCGTGCACCACCACCGCCCCGCTGCTGACTTCACCTTCTTATTGGATACAGGTGCTGAGGACTGCAGCCTGGGGTAATCGGTCTTAATTTCATCTAGCACACAGGTCTTCGGTTTAGAGAGATTACCACTGTGCTGAGGGAACCAGCTTTTCCCCCGAGTGCGTGCAGGGGTGGGGGCGGGGGTGGGGGTGGGGTCCCGGTGCTCCTCTGCCGCGATGTGGAGCGCCAGGCACTGCTGTGCGACAACTACTCACAGGGGAGTGTGTGGTGCTGCTGGTGGTCTGGGGAGGGCCTGGCACTGGAGTATGAAGAGGCTGGTGTTTGTTGCCGAGTTCTGGCAAGTCAGGCAGGGGAAGACTTTTCTGGTAGCTGGAAGGAGGAATAAGTTCCCTGAGTTCTTCCAAAAGGAAGACGTGGCGCGAAGCCATGGCCTCTGAAGGCACCTGTCACCCATCAGAAGGCGGGCTCTGTACTGAGTGGCCTGCCTGAGGAAGGAAGCCATGTCCCTACAACTGTCTAAGCATCGGTGCAACCATCTCTGTGGCCGCCGCTGCTGCCGCCGAGCACATGCACCCCCACCCCACCCCGTGGTAGGATGACGCTTCTGATGTTTTCACCAACAGTCTGTTATTTTCCAGTGGTTTTTCTTCAGAAGTGTGGAGGAAAAACTAGGAGGGAACCTTCCCAAGATTCAACAGGAAGCTCTGAAAGACCCTGTGTTGGCAGGGGAACAGTGTTTGCAGACCTGTCCTCTCTGGTGGATTTGTGATCAAGGATTACCCCCCTGGAGTTTCTCCAGGAGTCCTGATCCAGATGCTGCCCTGTCTGCCCAGCCTCATGAACTCCTCTGATGCTGATTCCTCCTAAGAATGGGTTTGCTTTTTGAAAGTCAGTTCATTCATAAAACTGTACCTGCTGCTGTGCGTGACACCAGCTGGTCCTGTTCTGTTTGATCACTCCTGGTGGCTGGAGGAACTGTGTCTTTACTCCTGGTCAGTCACGGCCTTCCTACGGGGGCATTGGGAGCTAGGGTCCTGCATTCTTCTTTCCTAGCCCTAGGAAGGCTTGTCTGGGGGAAGCTGGGAGTGGGAGAGGGAGGCAGGGGGGAGGTGGGCTTCCAGGAGGGTCTGCAGGGAACTCGTGCTGGAT